TAGTATTAGATCAGCATATATAATTTATTAAAAAGTTGTAATATAGAATTTTGATTTGCATTATCGTTTGAATAAAATAATAGACGAGGAATGATTTTTGCGTTTTTTTTGTAGTATAATTAAAATCTAAATATAAAATTTAAATAATATATCCTATTTTCTAATGAACTAGATTTTAATTTATTTTCTATCTGTTAAATTGTATTGGAATATTGTTTTTTTGCCCAAGTATAAATTTTATATATGGACAGTAAACAGATTCAAGTTATTATAAATGAAAATATAATTTACAACCGTTAAATTAATAAATAAATAATAAATAAGGAAAAAATATAAATCAAAATAAAAATTATTCATATAAAAGATATAAAATAAAAATAAAAAAATACCAACAACACACGGTGTTCCCAAGCGGTCACCCATCCAAGTACTAACCGTGCCCAACGTAGCTTGACTTTGGTGATCGGACGAGAACCAGTATGCCCTACGTGGTATGGTCGTTGGTATTATATTTTTGCTATGCATAATTTAAAAGTGATTCAATATAAGATAAAGATACTGGAAAAATTTATCTACTGAATTACAGTAGTTTTGTAGTATAAATAAAATAATTTTTTTATTATTATACGATTATCTATTTATCTATATATATATATATTTAAATTTATATCGATTTTATTTATATTTAATAAAATTTTTTAATTGCATGTTTATTGCAACTTTAAAGCTTCGAATAAGTAATTTCTAAATTTATTATTATAATTTATATATTTAAATCGTAAATAATACATCAAAATTACTTTTTCTCATGTAATCAGTAATTTAGAAGAGGGAACATAAAATCCCATAAAATGACGGATCTATTCTGCATCTTATCTGTGCTTATATATTTCTAATATATCTTATATAAAATAATAATAATGGTAAAAAAGACAATGTTTATTATTATATTATTGTTTATAAGATTTTTATATAGCATATAAAATAAAAACATTTGAATAAATATAAAGATTAAGATGGTTTTTTAGGTTATGTATGATCAATCAGAAGAAAGATGGCGTATATATAAAATTCTATAGTTGGGTCCGTGTTAAATAAATTAAATTGTGGAAGGTTATGTTCAAGAATAATACAGAGTATTCATAACACATGTTAAAACAATTGATTGAAAAATTAAAAGTTATATAAGACATTAGTTTAGAGGATAAAAGAATAATGGAAAACTATATAACTCGTTCAGCTTTTAGTTTTGGCATTTTTGCTTTTTTTCTTTATTTTATAAAAGTGTCAAGTGTATTAAGTGTATCAACATCACAAAGTATTATAGATGTAATAAAAAGTGACAGTGAATTATGTAAAATGCCGACAATTTTGTATGAAAATAATATTACAGCGGATTGTTATAATGTAACATATCCTGAAGGAGAACATGTAATTGCGCAATATGATATGACATACAAGAATATACGAAATTTTTTATGTTTGATATTTTATGATACATTGTATAAAGTTTGTCAAGCTAAATTACAAAATCAATTGAATCATACTACTTTCTATTCAAATATTCAACGATATTTCCCTGAAGAAAATGAAAATGATCAGACAAATTTCTGTAAAAATATTAAAGATATTAAATTTGCATATAAAAAATTGGAGCCATTATTATCACATGTACATTTTAATAATTCTCATGTTTGTTATGCCGCATGTTTTAATTTGTCAGGAAAATTTATTCCACTTTGTGCAATATTATCATGGAGCAAAAGTATTGATGAAATAAATGAAGATTTTGGAAAAAAATTTGAAAATAAACTTGAGAAAAAACCTGCTATAGATATAAAACAGAATTTTACGGCAATAAATGAAACTTCTAATGAAACGAAAGGAGATAGTGATAATAAATATAAAACAACATCTGATGTGAAAAATATTGTGTTAGAACAAGAATCCCAAACTGAATTTGTTGAAGTTACTGTAACAACATCTGATTTTGAAAAAATAAAAGAATTAAGTGCTACAGGTCATATTTTTGAAAATTCAGAATCAACGCTACAAAAATACAACGCTAAAAAACCTGATGATAATGATAACAATAATAAAAATGATGCGAGACTTGAGAATGATAAAAATGATAAAGATATAAATTCAAAAACATTATCTAAAAATGATGAGGATTTTAAAAAAAATGAAAACAATAGAATAAATACTATAAGTAATGAAGCTGAAAAAAATATGAATAATATAAATGATGATTATAAAACAAGTACAATATCAGATAATACTGAAGATCATGAAAATTTTGCTAGCATTAAGCAAAATGGAAAATTAACTGATGGTATTATTTAATTCATATTTTCTTTAATTCTTACTTTAATACATAATTTACTGTATTTAAATTTAAATTTTTTTTTTAGATACAAATGATGTTTCTGACCAATCTGATGCTGGTAAAAAATAATTTAATAAAAAAAAATATTTTATAATTTTTGATATTATGTATTTATATTTAATGTATTTTTATGTCAGCAGATCAAGATCAAGGTATACCTGAACCATCTGAGCAAAGAGATATCTCAATACCTCAATATCATCCTATAAGAACAGATGAAGAATCTCATTTTCTTACTTACTTAACTGCACTTTCTTTAATCTTTGTAGTTGCATATTTTGTTTATCAACATAAACAAAAAGTAATAAGTATTTTTTTTCTTATTTATAAAACTTCAATCATTCATTTCTTTTCTTGATATTTTACATTTTAGTATTTTAATATTACAGATAATAGCTATCATAGTAGAAGGACGAAGATCACGAAATAGTCGCGCTAGACGACGACCAAGCACTGCTAATTACCGTAAATTGGATTGTACATTAGAAGAAGCAGTTACATCACAATGTAATGCAAATGTTACCCATGTTATATACTAATGCATGTATCAAATATTTTAAAGCTACTGTATAATAGCACGCGTGTAACATATTATTTTGTATTCGTGTATACTTCCATTATAATATGAATTTATTTTAAATTAATTATTTCTTAATATTTCATTAAATATTATTAAGTTAGATATATTAGCAAATAATATAACATTTAATTTTAAATTATAATGGCTAAAGCGCTTTTGCTTACTTTTAAACTCAGTTTGCTTAATTTACTCAGTAACCTATTCTTTCCAGTGAGCTTTTACTGTTTATTCATTGTTTATATATTTACATATGTGTAATTTATTTTTAGCGTATATATATATTTTTATTGTGATTATAATTCTTTTTAGAATTTTTTTCATTTCGTAAAAATATTATAATATACATATACAATTATTACAATAAAACATAAGTTTTATTTTATTATATTACAGACGTACTGACAAAAACAAGGTTTAATTTATCTTGTTTTTAAAAATGTAATTTGAAATTTAAATATATTATAATTTTAATTAGATATATGTAATTTTATACTTATGCTTTATAATTTAAGATTCATTACATTATTTAGTATTATTATTTATTTTTTTAAAATTCAGAAATTAAAATTTATTTTATAAATAATTTTGTATTCAAATATTATATATATATTTTTCTTTACATTTAAGAATATAAATTTTAATATTTTATTACAATTAAATGAATTTTAATATTTCTCAAAATTTTATCTTTGTTCAATATCAAATTGCAAGCAATGATGTAAATATAAATATAAATCAATTAAAAATAATATTGATATAAAAAAAATTATTTATTTATTATTTTGATTTTTAAATTATTTTTTAATAAATATATTACAAATAATTTCAGATAAAAATTTTTTAATATTCTTTTTATCGAATTTTTTCATTCATATATATAAAAGTTGTATGAAATGATGAATGAAAAACGCATTATATAATTATATGGTACATTTTTTCAAATAGTTCCTTCGATGACATGTATATTGTATATTGCAGTATATGTTACTATATCATAATCAAAATTTTTATTTTCGATATAGCATGTGGCGAAATGTTATATTCCGAGACAAATTTGTAATCGTACGTCATATTTATTATTTAGAAAACTCGAATATACTAATCCTACAATGGTACAATGGTACATTTGTCATTATACCAGTAGAATACTTATTTTTGCTATCCACCATTGTTGCAAATATAAAACTTATAATTTTCTTTTAAACATATAATTATACAGACTAGATATTTAAAAATATATCAATGAATTTTTTCATAATTTTTTGTACGATGTAAATATACGAAATACGAATTAAATCTAAAAGATTGCAATAATATCTACTTGATGTATCGAGAAAAAAGTATTATATCATTGTAGGGTTAATAATAATAAATATAAATAATACAGATACTTATGTACATGTATTACGTTCAAGTGAATTTAATGCACAAAGTATTCATATGTTTATATGGATATTCATATATTTATACCTTGATCACATTTGAATGAATTATTGTACATTCGTTGATAATTATATCAAATTAATTTTTCATGATTGCAAATACCGTCCACTTGTACACGCATTTACGATATCGAGTATGTAATAAATTTCTTACAACAAAATAAATATTATTGTATGTAAGCAAGAATATTATTCATACTGAAATTGTTGAAAATAATTATTTTTCTGTTTATTAAGAAATTATATTAATATTTATTAATGATTTTATTTTTCTTTTTAAATTTAAGATAGCAGATCAGTAATAATACTAAATAATAATTTATAAGATAAGATAAACGTAAAGTACTACGGATCGATGTTCTTTAAAACGATTGTATAAGTTCTTTTTTATTTAAATTAGATAAGATTTGATAAAATTATTTTAACAGCATCAAATTTTAAGGGGAAAAGATATAGATGTTTCTAAATTTATTTAAAATAAAAATGAATATTAATTTTTTGTTATTAGAATCGCTATATTTTTCCATTCTGCATAAATTAAAGGATGCAAATGATTAAAATTTATATTGAATAATGAAATTTTTCTCACATTGAAAAATAATAAAAATAAATTATTTTGAAATGCAAGTATTGTAAAAAAATAATAATCTATTATTTTGAACAATAACAAGCATCATTGGTTTGTTGTAATATCCAATTTAAATGTGGGCCAACCCTCGTGAATATCGAAACTGCAGGAATATTATCACACTTGTTTATATCTGAAATTATACCTGTTACAAAATAAGATATTTTCATTAATTCACTATCCTTAGCATGTTAAAAAAAATTTTATTTATAAAGGAGTTTTATTATACTATACGATAAGCCCACTGCGATAAGGCTATTACGAAAATTAATTACAATTATTATTCGTGTGATTCAAAATTAAATAATTTAAAAAAAATGTTACGCATACCAACGAGATCATACACTCCAAAATATGAACGATATTGTACTGAGGAACCCACGTCGTTCTGAAACGTACATTTAGATATTTAAAATTTTATCAAAATAAAATAAATAAAGTGAAATAAGAATAAAAAAAGAATAAGAAGGAAAAGAAGATCACAAATTCTTCTTAACTTGTAAATTATAATTTAATAATAATATTTTTCTTCGGTTCATCCAATTATCCCTTATATTTATTTTTTGTAACAAACTTATAAATATCCGTATTTGATTAATAAGTGTACTTAATTAAAAATAATATTGCCGATAAGTTAACATACCTCGCATACAATAGAACTTCCACCTAATACTCCAACACAACCGGAATCATTGTGAAAATTCATAGGATTTATTCCGGATTTGACACATTCCTCATGTCCCAAAATTGGAAGTCCCAATTTTCGTGGCCGACAAGTTTGATTGTTGTTTGAATCGTCTATGTCCTTCACCGTCCATCCGACCAACGTTCCAACTTGTCCAAGATAAGTCGAACCTTAATAATGATATATTTTGTATTAATTATATTTATTTATCAATTTTCCTTTTATCATTGTATATATGTATGTATTGATCCAAAAATTATTTTTTCAATATCTTGTAAATTTCTTCAGAAATGTTGGTTTGATTTGTTGCAAGTTGTATTAATGATATATAAAGAAAAAAAAAAAGAAATCAATAAAAATGAAGAATTTTGAAGGAATATCTTCTAATGTCAAAAATGATAAAACAAGCAATTCCCAATTTAAGGATGCGTATATATTTGAGAATAAAACTTTTATGAGCATATAAAAAAAATTACTATATATATGTGTATATATTTCAGCTCTTTCTTGTATTATAAAATTTTTACATGTTACATCATAAAACTTTCGAATATTTTTAAAAATAACGAAGAAGATATTGAAGATGTTATTGGATACATTTTTTATGTTTCTTTACTAAACTCATATATTATTATTAAACTAAAGAAATTTTACGTATTTGTGCAAAATTTATATGTATAAAAAATCTATGGATGCATTGTGATATTGAAAAAGATGGAAAATATTCGTAACAAAGAATAATAAAACATATCATTTATTTCAATTTCAATAATTGTGTTCCATAGAAACGCAAATTTGCATAATTATCAATTATTATTTTACGAGTAGATTATTTGAAAGAAAAAAAGAGAATGGAACAATAAGAATTAAATACGTGCCTGGATTTGGTAAACAGATGGGTGATAGCCTTCTCTCGAATTTAACAGTTTGACTCAATTTGATCAATGCCAAGTTATGAGCATGAGACTCTATGTTATACTCTGGATAGAGAATCAACGATTCAACGCTGATCGTGCTCGACGACACGTCCAAATTACATCGATCGTATTCTCCAAGGGATACTTTTACTTCCGCCGCTGTTACGCTGCGAATAATATTCTCAAGTTGTTCCCTTCAAAAAATTACAATAATGAACATTTTAATGCAAAATTTACGAACCCAACGAATTGATTGGCCGAAGAGAGAACGTAACGATCGTTTATCAGAACTCCGCTGATGAGAAATTTCGATCTCACGTGAATATTCGCAAGCCATGGAAATTCGTGAACTTTTGTATATTCTCCACCGAGAAATCGTGTTTCGCCAAATCGATTCGGTCGACCGCAAACTATAAACAAGCTAGCTATTTAATAATCAATGAAGAGTTTAATCAATTGGATATCTGGTAATACATCATACAAATATTCTCTTACGACAATTGCCACAAGTTTTGAATCTGCCCAACAGGAAGTCCAAAATGCCTCGTGTTTCCCGCAATTTATTCTAATAAAAAGTATACTTTTATATCTTATTACACATTTTTACCATCCTTTCGAACGTCAAAATATTGAATTTACTTTCATGAATTTATTTTATTTACGATATACAAAATGATAAATCATTTAATTATATTAATTATAGATAGTTTTACTGTTTCAAAGATCAAAGATTGCTCCTCAATCATTTTAGCAGACAATAGTTAATTAACAGTGTTGATAATTAAAAACGAATTATTAGTGAGTTTATTGAAGTTTAATCAAGAATGGAAAGTACACGATGATTTAATCAAAATTTAATAAAAATAGCGAATATAAAATATCTTCTACTTTGTACTTAATAATTTCTTACTACTTGTTCCCCCCCTCCCCTTAATTCACATAAATAATGCCATACAATTAAAAATAAATTTTGAAATTCGAACTAAATCAAATTTATACCCAATTACGCGTCTCTTTTTCATTCCCATCGTTCTCTTCGACACGAAATCGAATTAGAAAAAATGAAAACAAACGACAATGTACGACAAAAAAAAGTTCAATCAATATATCGAGAAACAAATCGAGGATGTCTAAAAGAAAAATCGCTTACGGATGGAGCAACCTCGAAACAGCGAATCGATCTCGTGGCGAGCACCAACAAAAGACCGCATACGAGGTATTTAACGAAGTTTTGCAGCTTCATGGCTTTTCTCTCGGCTGTCGAAACGGTACTGGGTCCGGTTGAACGGTCGGTTTCTCTTGTATAGCGGGATTATCATTGCCCGCATCTCGAGCAGAGGCCTTTTCATAAACGTCGAATCCACGAAAGTTATCGAGACCCCAAGAATTCGCTCTTGGTTGTCTCGTTTGAATGGTAACCGGTCGCCAACCGGTTGCTCCGGTACCGTTAGAGGATTTCAAGATGATGTGATCAGGAGTCAATCCGTGGAAATGGAAATACGTTTGACACGTATGATAAGCTTTGAGCAGAGAGTATCGGCTTCGATTCGAGGGATGTGCACGCATTGGTTTCGGCTTTGCGTATCGAATGTAATTGATTCGCAGGCACAGTAATTGAATCATATTGATTGGACGAATTGATAAATCCATCTTGCAGCAAGGGTTGATTCATGTTTAACAGAAATGTATGAAAAATGATGTCAATTATTTGTAGAATAAAATTGTTTTCATATTAATCGATAGTATAATTAAGTAGGCGTTAGATTTTTATTTCAATTTTTGACGAATTTGTAAATTTAAAAATGACGAGCGATAAAATAAATTAATTTATTAATTAGAGAACTTTATTTTTGTACGAAACAGTTGAAAATTTATAAATTCTTAATAACTTGTTAAAAAATGGATCTATTCTTTCTTCTTTTGCTGCAAAGTCTACAATTCTATATATATTTCTATATATATATTACTTTATTCTGATTGAATTTCTTAATTTTGATGTTAATGCGTGCGATTAATTTTCTATAAAATAATTAATCTCGATAGAAAATAGCATCGATAAATTTTCGTGTATAGGGAATTAGTGAAATTTCGAGGAATTTAATGAAAGGAAACATGACGAATGATTTAAGTTATTCGATAAATTGAATTAAATTTTTCGTTATTATCAGGATGAAATAAAAAGATATTTATACATAATTATCGTTGCATAATTTATGTAATAATAAACGTTTATTGACTATCTCGTCATTGAGCTTATTACTTGATCTTTAAAATGAAATTAAAATTTTCACTTATGTTTGAACAGATCGTGTAATTTTTTTTTTATTTCAATTGATCTTATACTTATATTGTAAATCGTGATTTTTATATTTGTTGTAAAAAAAAAAATACAATAAAATGAATAAATTTATGATCATTAACAATAATAGATGAAAAGTGATATACAGAAAAATAAAAAATTTGAGTATTTCGTAAATATATATACGTGTTAAAATTATTTTTGAGCTTAGTACTCTCCTCTCATTTGAGTCATTCGTAGACAAATAAATTTAATTTTGAATCACTTGGAATATCACTTATATTCGACACATATTTCACGAATATGAAAACTGATTGTTAATTAATATTCCTAACGAAATCAAAGTTTTCCTCGAACGTGCATCGAATTATGTTATAACATTTCAAATCAAACTAATATTTATCTCTCGTGATATTTTTCGGTGATAATAATTGATACGACAAAACAGAGAAATCTATTGGTTTGAACATCGTTGTGTACAACAATTATTGATCTTAATTCTGTTCACAGAAACATCCCTCTCGAGAATGATAAATGATCCAGTCTATGTATCGCGTAACTCTCGTATAAACACCAGGATATCCTGGCCGAGCACATCCATTTCCCCAGGATACTATACCTATAAGCTCATATTTCTTGTCTTCGCGTTCGGTTATGAGTGGCCCTCCACTATCACCCTAAAAAAAAAAAAAAGAGAGAAGGAAATCTGTAGAAATAGGATATTTTTTCCTTCCCCTTTTTATCGATTTCGAATAATAATTGTAAAATAAAATGATACGATATTTAATTATTAAAATTTTATATATCGTTTTTATCATAACGATATGTAACTAATTTCCAATTATCAGTTATGCAAAAATGAATGAAGAATATAGGAATTCAGTTTATTTTAAGTCCTCTTTTTCCTCAGTTTCACACAAAAAATCATTATCTCTATGCAATTTTTTAAAATTGACATAACCGAGATAAAGCTCACCTGACAAGAATCCTTCTGGCCATCGGGATATCCTGCGCACATCATGTTATCAGAAATCATGCGTGGATTGTAGCTTGTGTTACGGCAATCCTGAAGGCTCATAACCGGTACCTCGACTTCCTGCAGCAGGCAAGAAGGCTTGCCATCCTCGTACAACGTACCCCAGCCGGACGCGATTGCCTTCGATCCGACGTATTGCTTATCTGAAACCCATTAACACGGCCCGTATATATACGCGCGAGAAGAGAAATGTGCACACAACAAGAAAAAAAAAAAAAAAAGAAAAGAGAAGAATTGCAATGCCAATGGTATGCATCGACTGGTATGCATAGAGTTTTTAGAATTATTTTGCATTTGACAGTGTGTTTATCCACTTGCACTTTTCACCTGGATCTCGTCACCTGCTTCACACGAGTTACATAATTCGGGATAATAAATAATCGTTGCCAATTGTTTGTGCATCAGAGTTTTATTGTTTCGATCGAAAGTGGCTGAATAGGTACCCGTATATTGACCAATTTGTAATTTTGCAACGATAAATAATGATTGAAGCGTTTGTAGATTAATTGCGATATAAGAGCTTCTCGTCCATGCGTGTGCTACTTGACTTTTCGTTTTTGATGGAGTTATTTGAGATTCTGTTACTTCACACGATCGAACAGTGGATTTTTATGAGATTCAAATATACGAGTGTGTAAAAAGATACTGGTTGAAACTTATTTGTTAAAGGATTTCAGTTTGCACTAAGACGATTTAACTTAAGATAGAACTTATATTGCAGAATTTCATTAAAGGCATTTTTAAGAAAATGTGTCATTGATAGAGTGTGATAGATGGAGATAAAAGTGTCTTATTTTATCTCTATCTTGTTTTATTTACTACAAAATTTACTATAACTTATTAAACAAACTTTAACTGATATTTTTATATTTGTTTTAATTTCTAGAAATTATTATTAGAATCAATGAAATGTATCATTGCATGAACATTAACAAAGAAAAATAGCTATGAGATCTTCTACAATTAAAAGTTTGTTTTATATTTCTATCTCAATATTCTTATCTTTTGAAAAAATTAATTTACAGATTGAACAATATTGTTCTTTGACATTACAAAATGTCTTTGAAACATATTTAAAACTTCAACATTACTTCTTTAATTGTAACATTTATGTAATAAATTATTTATAATTATTTCCTCATTTCAGAAAATCTATTCAAAAAGTCTGTATCTATAAATCTATATAAAAGTTTACAATCTATTGATTAATTAATTCAATAGTCAAATATATTTCCATATTATCCAGTATTAATAAATATCTTTCAAAGATCCATTCTAAAAGAAATATAAAAGTATCAATCAAGATTTAATTTAGATATCAAATTATAGATAGTTTAAGAAGAAATGCAGTTAAAGCGAGATGATTTCATCTTGGTCGTCTCATTTAATACAAACTTCAATTACTTATAATTTAATAAATAAGCTTCTTTTTTGTTTGTTTCCCTTCTAAAACCTTTCGAAGATATCCAATGAATATATTAACACTCTATGCATGATTATGACAGAATGAACATCTTTAATATTTGCATACGTGATAATAGAAACAGTAAAATAGTCGCACCTCTTACTGATGGCAGGCATATGGGCCTTATGGTATCGCTGAGGGGCACTCTTTCGTTAAGACGTAACAGGGCAATGTCGTTGTCGAAATTGAGGAAACTGAAATCACCGGTTAGCACTCTCACCACGTATCTCGTTTCTGCTCCTTTCTCGGTGCACCTGTCATGCTCACCGAACGTGACCTTGATCATGAACCACATGAACCTGAAAACGGGGCTAGGAAAGCTGATCATGCTTCTCTGGAGAACTTAAATTGTCATTTTGTAATTCAAAATTCAGAGATTCGAATTGCTTGGTTCATTATATGTACAATAAATTGTTTTTGATCCTCTATGAGTGTTAATTTTGTTCGTTTTTTGATGTAAAAAAGTTACGTAACTGATAATATAGTTTCTGATTTATAAATTCGAATAACAATATTATTGCTATGAATATTAATTAATAACGTTCTTTTTAAAGGAGCTTATTATAAAGCGAAGAATTATCAAGGGAAAAATTTATAGAGAAGAATTAAATAGATAATATTTTGATAAATGAGCAATTGATTTTGAGCGAATTGCAAATAAATTCTTATTTATTACAGTATCTGATTATATATGGCAAAGCAACGAAAAAAGCTATAAAAAAAGCTTTTTGATTAGTATTAACATATTATATTCGTTTTGATTGAACTAGATTATAATTGTTACAATCTCAATTGTCATAGTTGTTGATTGAATTTATATTTTTGACACTTCTTATTTACTTCATATATGAAACTTTTTAAATAAAAATTATGATTAGAGTATTATTTATAAACTGAAAAGAAAAATTATTTTCTCATAATAATTAAAAATAACTATTATTATTTTCTATCGAAAACAGCATCAATTATGAGATGACTTAATATTACAAATTACTTAATATCAATAAAATAAAAATATATATGTAAAAAGAACAAATTAAATTTGAAAAATACCATAAAAAGTTACAGATATGGATATATAAATTTTAACATACCATTATAGAGGATTAATTGCCTGTTTTGGTGAATACTTACCCTTTGACACAATGAGCCGCTGTAAGTACATATCGATCGTTTATCAATGTTCCACCACAATAGAATTTGTTCAAATACGAAAGCCTGGCCATCCATGGGAATTCATTCATACGAGTCGTTTGACCACCAACTATTCGACTTTCTTCGTTTCGCAGGCCGCAGCCTAATAGTTTGAACAGTTAAACGTGTTAGCAACCTGGTTTTCTTAACTAGGAGTCGCAGTTAACGGTAACGAAAAATAAAATAATAATAATGATAAGTTGGCAATATTGACTGTTATATTAGAGTTTGGTGTTAAAATGTTTTAGAACGTAGTGTTAAGTTAATCCCAATAATGTAAAATTTAATTTAAGATTCATTAAAATTATAAATAATATTACAGTTAAATGATATTACAGCATAATTCAATAATTATAATGTGATTAATATTGTTATAATTCAATTTTTTAGTTATCCATTTCAATATTGAATAATATGACGGTAATATTAATTTAAATAAAGATTATTTCCCAAGTATTGTATCATTTTTGCATCACGTTATTCTTAATAATTATTAATTATTATTTTTATTATATGATTGAATGAAAATGTAATTGTACTTACTGCAGTAACATGGTCCAGGTGCTTCTACAGCATACGGTGGTTTGTTACCAAAAATACCAAAAAAGTTTTTCACCTTTTCACCGAAAGTACTTGCCTAAAAAAAATTTCAATCACATTCAATATAAATTTTTGATTAACAATTTAATACACTTAACACTTATCATTTAATATATCTCCATATAAACTCTATGTATACATTAACTTGTTAATTTAAAAATTAACATTAATATTGTTTCTTCAAGAATAAAATTTAATTCATATTACATCACGCTCTAAGTTTAAATTACTTTTTAAAAAGCAAATTCAAATTTTGAGACAAAAACGAATCGATAGAAAACATTTTCACAAATTCAATTTGATTATTCTGCAATTATTTAATAAAATTATCCCTAAAACAATCTCGATCACTCGTTCATTCCATAATTGTAGAACAAATAATATTCTACAATTCATTCTGCATTCGTCTGCATCACCTCTCACAGTACCGTTGATATTACTTATAAAAATAAGTTTTACCGCAAAGATGGTCTTACTTGACAACTTCTTGAAGCCAGAGCCAGGACCGCTAGTAATCCAATGCACGGGGAGAACCTCATTTTCCGATCGATCAAATTCTGCCCACGTTTGTTATCCGTGCGAAGTTTACACGTTCCACAGGAAAGGATTCTCTCTGTTGACGAAGGATCCGCCGCGCGGACACTGTCAGGAACGAGTTACGAACATATCCCTGGCTGGGAGTTGCTATCGCCAGTGTCCCACGGCAACTGAGGACGACTCACTTCGAGGAAGGTGATTGCTATTCCAGAAGAGAAGGAGGACACGACTGGTCGGCGACTGGACAGTACCTGACCAGTTCGGGTTCACGTTCAGGGTCGAATTACGGGTGACTGTTATTGACCTTCATCAGGGTCACGCTAGGTTTTTCAACGATGATTGCAGTTCTTTTTTTTTTTTTTTTTATAGATTTGGATGCATTTAAATATTTTTTTGATAATTTAGAAGTGACGTTTGAATCTTGATAGAGATAATTTTATATTTGTTAATAATGCGCTGTCTTTTTCGATTGAAAATTTGCTTGTCACATTAATGATATTATTTATTGTAATATTAATAATATTAATAATACGTCTTATCGATTTAGGTTATCTTCATTAGTTTATCATTTGCGACAACTAATAAAATAGAAATATTAATGAAGAAAAGCATTTGAAAATACTTATATTACTTGCTATATTACTAAAAGTAAATTTTACGTGAAAAATTCAATTTATTCGATCATAAAACAATATATCATTCAATTCCATATATTCCACATATTATCTGTTGTTATTAATATGTCAAAAAATATATTTTTTTTTCACGTATTTATTACCATCTTGTCACAACACGTCCAAAAATCGAATATACCACGAATATATTATGCAAATTCCAAGGGAAAAGACATTACAACTACCTTCATCACATTATATGCAAAACTCTTATTATACACAAATTTGTCATGCGTCATTCGATACCGTTCAACAGCAAGTATTTTTGCACTAATATTGTGTCTATTCGAGATAATGACTAGGCTATTATAGTCTGGTTTTTCCACTTTCGACTAAATTATGATACGCCTTGTTGGCCGTTTATTTTCGGTCTCGACTATATCGAGGGAACAAAAGTTCTTTTGGATCTTTCAGAATTCATTTTTATTTATTTGTTTATTTATATTTTTTTTCTTGACAATGATCTTTTTATAAATAGTTGTTGAATAACGTCAATATCAAGGAATGCGAAAAAATAAAGAGAGGGAAGCTAGTTTTGATGGATCGAAAGGAATTTATTTTTTGAGCAAGTGTTGCATCGAATATATTATTGTATTTTATATGAAAAACGTAAAGCATTGAATGCAAAGATTGAAACATTACGGTGCACGAATGCACATACTGTCGTCTTGGTTTTGTATTAGCTTCATTAATTTAATCGTGGTTCGACAGAAAACCGTTACTGATCATTATTCCAAGTACGTACGTACGTTGCCATTCACGCAACAAAAGGGACGATACGAGTACAGTTCGAATATTATACAATATATTTTCTACATGTTGCAAATTTTTACAATTGTTACAGCAATCTCCATGAAAGCAATCTTCATATTTTACGGAATAAAAAAAAAAGACTATTATTGTTTTACAAAATAGAAAAAAGACAAAAAATGTAATGTTGATCAAAATATTAAAAAAGAAAACTACAAATTTTTACAGATGTTAAAAAATGTATGAAAGCAATCTCCATATTTTATAGAATAAAAAAATATCAAAAAGATTATTATTTGTTCAAAAAATAGACGAAAAAAAGACGAAAAATGTAATGTTGATCAATATATTAAAAAAGAATATAAACGTTTTACCGAAATTTCAAATTTGATTTTGTTTTTTTGTATGAAATTTTAAAAAATTTGTGAATTTATATAGTAGATTATTTTTTAATTTACAACATACAACATTTATATACTTTATTTACTTTTCTCTGCCATGATAATAATTATTCTAACGTTATAATTTATTAATAAATTATATACAATTGTATATATAAAAATAATAAAGTATCCTTTACAATTATAACTATTTATACTTATTATTAACATAAAATGATGATAATGTGCAATAACTTTTCTAATTACTACTAAACATATATATATATATAGATTAAATTAATTTATAGCAGCTTCTTATTTTATACATTATTTAGTTGTGAGATTTTTAAGTACATTTAATTTACTTTTCTTATATATTTGGCTAATTAATAAAATTATAATAATTTTCAATAATTATAAAGTAATAATTTCTATTTTGTGTTAAATTGACTTTTATAATTATATTTTATCAAATGATAAAATTAGTGAACACTCTTAACACAACATGATTAGATTAATAAATAATTTGATGAATTATAATATAAAATATTGTCATTAAATTAGAATAGCTTGGTAGAAGATTTTCCATTTTCTAGATTTTTTTATGGAAATATCATGTCGAACGATCGATCGATTCTTTTTAATTCGTACATATACATCCTTGTTTCATGTTTGTGTTAATCCAATTCAGATACCTAGATACTCTAGTATAAACCCCAGGATATCCTGGTCTTCCGCAGCCAACACCCCAAGAAACTATTCCTATATTCAAAAGAAATAAAAATTAAAAATATAAATACAACATTCTTATAAAAATATATTATGATTTTTAAAAATTTGTTATTCTTTTACATCTTAAAAAAATAAATTATATTAATATTCAATAGTTTAAAAACTATTATTTTACAATCATTTGATATTTAAAAATTTATTTATTTCTCCGATATTTATTAATTTATTGAATCAGTTTCTACACAGTGAATTTGTATTTTATTTAATTATGATTTTACCAAGGAAAACTAAACGAATAAAAAGAATACGTAGAAATTTAATTCTTCGACAATTTGAAAGCAAACGTGTGAAAAGTTGAACGATATTTATTTCTTACCAACTATTTCGAGTCTATCGCCTTCCTGCACGAGAAGAGGTCCGCCACTATCACCCTGACAAGAATCTTGACTGCCTCGACCGGCGCATATCATATTATCCGTGATTCGATTAGCTCGATATTTCATTTTACGACACTGTATTAAACTTAATATGGGTACTTGCACCTCATGGACTTGTCCAGCCAGCATACCACCTTCCGATGTCCGACCCCAGCCTACCACGGTACCTTCTTTACCAGCTGGATCGCTACCTGCAAATATTTCTGGTATTTAAATTCATTTTATTGGAGAAAAAGAAATTTTTGTCCTTTTACGAAGCAAGGATCAATAGATTTATTTTTAATAAATTGTTTTTAGTTCTTAAATAGGATAAATTTTTATCTTTTTTAAATAAAATTATTTATTCTATAAGGTATCAATTTGTTTGCAAAAGCATGAAATTAACAATATTTAATTTTAATAAATTCTTCATGATTTTTCAATTTGTGACAATTTATGAAATTCATAAAAGATTAAAAATTTTACGAAATATAAGATATTATTTGTACAAAAAAATTGTAAAAATTTTTCGTTAGCACGTTTGAGACGATTATTTATTGTTAATTGTTACCTTTTTGAGGTAAACATACTGGTTTGACACGTTTGGAAAATTTCACAGATTTTCGAAGTTTCAGCAAGGCAACGTCATGATTGTACGAATTCATGTCGAAATTTTTGTGACGAATTACAGCGCTCACTGCTCTCATTATAGCTTTTCCATCGGTATTCACGTATTGATCGTAATCACCCAATATTATACGCATTTTCGAACGCTTTAACCTGGAAAATAATTCAAAAAATTTACATATTATTGCATTACAAAAAATGTATTGAAAATATATACAATTTTTTCTTATGACAAAATATTGATATTATTTTTTTTTTTATATATATCGTATTTTAATTCGTGTAATCATTAAATATAAATAGTTTGATACGTATTTTAATAGGGAGTAGGAATAAAAATATAATTTTTAATTATAAATGCTTTTATTACCGATTTATTTACAATAAATCAATAAATATCTCTTGATAAACTATTTTTTGCATAAAAGCAAAATACACAAAGAGAAATAATGGAAGCTTTAAAATGCTTTCGTTGCATTCTATTTCCACCGTATTACTGCTACCTAAGCATTCTACTTACTTAGCAAGTAGTAAATTCTTTTCTTAATAAAAAGTTCTGCAGAAAGAAAACGATAATAGATTAAAATTTATTTCAAATTCGATAATATTTAAGTTACATGATAATAACGTATAACGCGTGTTACATAATTGTCAATTATTTTAATCACAATTATATAATTTATATATATTTATTTTCTAACGAAGCATTTTTTCATTTTCTACATTTCATCTTCAAATTTCCCTAATTATTCGTTCAATAAATCACATTTAAAAACTTTTCTCACTAAACTCTTGCACACTAACGATATTTAATTTTCGCCAAATAAACGAAACGATTAAATTGAATCGGAAAAATTAATGCAAATTTCGAAAACGAAAACTTACCTTCGTACACAGTGAGCAGCAGTGATAACGTAATCATTGGTAACGAGGCTCGCTCCGCAGTGGAAACGACCCTCGTACACGAGCCTCGCCACCCACGGGTATTTATTCGGGGCTGTCGGCCGTCCACCGACGATTCGATCCTCCTGATTCGATATACCGCATTCTGAAAGCAATTCCTCCATCATTGTTGCCCGTTACGTGACATCGTCGCTAGAGGAGCCGGAAGCACTCGACGACGCTTTCTACCGTGGACTGTTACATCGATAGCTAGCCAGCGCGCAATCATACGTATTGACTGACGTTATTACACTTGGCCGACGTGGTCAAGTGTAAATTCCGTCACGTGATGTAATAAGTTTGCAAAGTCGTATGGGGGGAAAGTGATTTTTCGATCGCACTTTCGTTCCACGCGGTCGAAGAGAAAGAGAAACGAGCGACCATGGAAAAAACTAGTTCGTGGATTTTTTCTCCTCTTTTTTCTCTCCTCTTTCTCTTTTTTCTATCCCATCCCATCAAGTGGAGTTAAACGCAGGTGAAAACTATTAAAACCAGTTTAATAGTTTATCTTTTCTATCTTGTAATTGGAACGAATCGATCTGTGATCTTCGAGCATTGATCATTCAACTTGATCATTTTATTGCATGGTTGAATGTAAGTAGAGTATTAGGGGCAGAATTTCTCAACTGAATGTGTTATTAGTTTGAGAATAATTGTAATTAGAATTTGATTCAATAAATATATAATAGATTTTTCGTCTTTTCGTCAATTTTTCGAAAATTCTATAAATTATAATTCTACATTTCTGTGATTTTAGATTTGTAAAAATTCCATGTCTCAATATACATGTATACAATAATTTAATCAAGTTTGTAATGCATGATATCGTGAGTTTGTAATATAGAATTTTTGAAAACTTGGACAGAATTGGAATCATTGTATATGTATACTATGTAAATTATACGTATATTATGCAGAATAAAATTCTGCACATTTATGCAGAGTTGATGCGTTTCAAATATAGTTTCGATAATTCCTATTAAAAAATTTAACGCGAATATCAGTGACTCATAAATTGGTGTAAAAAATTATCAAAAAGATATTCTTTGTTATCGTAAATATGTATAATATTGGAAAATTTCTTGGCACAAACAAATTGTCAAAACAAATTGAAAATGGCACGTGTCATTCGTCATATTTGTTCACATTTATTTTTCATATTCAGTGAAAAGTGGTATATTTCGATTATCCAAGAAACATATTTCATCTCTTATTAGGAATAATGGCATGTTTTGACTTTGCCACGAGAAGTAATTTATTTCGTTATTTGAAAGAAATCGTATTTGAACGTTTGAGGCGAAAACTAATCAATTTCACTCTTTCACTAGAAAAAAAGTCACATTTAAATGAAACGTGTATCGTTCGAACGTTTAAATTTTCATTGCAAACGACTGAAATATTCTTCTGTTTGTAGACAATCAAAATTAAACGTATTCGCAATATATTACTTTTCATGGGAAAAACGTAATAGCATATTTTATTTTCTACTAAATCGTATATAAATAACGCTTTTCTTTTACGGAAGAAAAGAAAATTATAGAATATTTTGAATCGTGGATGAATATATTCTTTTACGTAAGATGAATAAAACGTGTTATTTTCAGATATAAGAAAATAAAAAATATAAATTTCTAATGAAATTTCATCCAAATTGTTATTCAAATTTTCAAAATTTGAAATAGAAAATTTTAATAATTAAAATGAAAAAACAATAAAAAAAGATAGCAATTTTAATATTCGTGTTATTTCAAAACTCTTACAAATTTTTGTAAAAATTACTTATTTACAACTTTCTATTATAATTTCACTCTAGATATATCGAAAAATAAACTATAATTCAAAGAATACTTTCAATATTAAGAAATGCGTTGGAATTATTTTAACGTGTTAACACAATCTTACCGCATGTACAATTCCTTGACACGACATCATCATCGTCCACGCTGCCACTTATATCAAGGCCGAACAATTCATCAAACAGGAACTTGCTCTTTCGATTACGGGTCGAATTCGTCGTCTGAAAGAAACGCATCGATCACTCTTCAAGCCGTACGCTCACTTTCCATTGCAAATAAGCAAAGAAGCCGTCAGAGAAAGTGACCATGATTCGAATTATGGGTCAAGGCTCGTCTCGTTAAAAATTCCAATCTATACAACGAACAAATCGACGAATCCCTCTAAATTATCCAAATAAAATTGATTCCTTATTTCATTCCAACGAGATATTCGCGAAAGAAATAATTCTCCATCGAATCTTTCCTTCAAAATACTTTTTAAACACTCGAAAATTATTATTATCTAATTATGATCTTAATAAAAAATTACCACTCCCTCCCCCCCCCCCAAAAAAAAGAAAAGAATTCCTCGACCAAAGCAATTTTTCAAGAATAAGATTGCAATTATTACACTGCATATAACATCACTCGTTTAAACATCACTCGTAACGAGGAGAAGCCAATTTCACTGTCCAATGTGAACTACTTACACCATAATAATTCGAGGTGGTCAAAGAATTATTACGCAGAAGTTTAACATCCAAACAAGCCACGTGAGCGAAAAGCAACAAGAACAAGGCCAGTGTCCACGTTTCCCGCGATACCGTGCCTCGAAACATCTTCCGCCAGTCTGAGGAATGTCACGCAAGATTTTCCCATTCGCCGGCCAAACTTCCTAGACACTCGAGATTTTCACGGAATTTTTCATGATCGCGCATTCTATCTTCGCGTGCCAACACACCTTCCACACCAGATATTCTTCCTCTTTCTCTTTCCTCTTTCTTCACGTTCCCTAGATTCGATCGAGAGAGGCTGCAGAGGATCGACGGACGTGGTGCAGACGCTTTCACCGCGCTTCCACGAAGACATCGGACTGACCGAGCAAGACCAACAACGAGCGTTCCTCGCTCGCGAAGAAAGTTCTTTCACTGTGTCCTGTTGCTCTTCCCATTCAGTATGCTAAGCCGATCGCACCGATGATCCTCTCTCGTTTCGAAATTGGCAAGATGGACGTGGCCGCGTCGATTCGTGTCACGCCAGATTCTCCATTTGCCCACCGATTTCCTAATATTTCGTCCCTCGAACAGATCAGTCTTTTAATAATTTCACAATTATGAGAATTTGAAATATTTTTGATTTTTATCGCTACGCGAAAAAGGAATTTGTGCATTCTTATTTCTTTTTTTCTTTTTCTTTTTTCAACGAGACGTTTCATCATTATTTTACTGCCAAGTTTTTCGTAGCTATTTTTCGTAAAGTGAAAGTGGTGTTAATGCGATACGAAATTTCATATATTTGGATTTAATTATTAATTAATATTTATGTGAATGCTGTAATGATTACAATCGTGTATGAATATTTTTTGTAGATGTTGTATAATAGTAAGAGAGAGATATGAATGGAATATTTCTTGTTTTTATTAGATAATTTATGTCATTGGGAAAATTTATTGTTTTATTGTTTAGTTAAAAAAAAAAATATTTTGTTTCATTCGTAAGTGATATTAATTTTACGATTATCGTTTCTTTAAGTATTACGATTTTAATACTATCTATTTTTTTCTTGAATATTATAATTTTACCATATTAAATTTTACATTAAACTTAGTATTATAATTCTAAGCTTATTAAGATCAACAATAAAAAAGTGAGGTTAGAACATCTATATCTACAATATTATTGTCAAATATTTTTATATCGTGGAATATATATATATATATTTTTCTGATATTTCGTTTAGAAATAGAGGATTATTTTTCCTCTAAAAAATTTAATTCAAGAATCTCACGTTTTCTCGAATCGTTCAACGAAATTTTGAAAATTAGCAGCATGAAAAAATTAGATTACTTATAAAATATTACAACGCCAATGTATAATGTATGTATCATCGAATGTATATATTTTGCATTTAATTTTACAAATAAGCTTCAATTTGCAATTTGTTTGATATTCCAATGGTAATTATTCTCTTTAATACAGGATATGGAATCGTTTTAACGATTGGTAAATATTAGAGAAACTTGGAATATATATTCAACGATTAATCGATCGTTTTTTCCAATGATAGAAATTGAGAAATGCTTTTTTCGCATGAAAGTTGAGAATATACCATTGGATACCAAAAAGAAGATTCCTATCATTATTTTCAATGATCAAATCGATGAATACGATGAAAATATCTTTTCGAAATGATACGAAATCTTTCCATCGTGAACGTTACTTTTATTACTTCGATTCGATACACCCCATCTTAACCAGATAAAGGAGGCACGCTTTCGATTTATCCTTTCAAAAAATTTCTCTTTTAGCGGCCGACCAAACGTGGACGTGTCCCCATCCTTGACAAATGAAATCACGAGGCGAGAAATATGAGTTTTGCCATGGAAAGATTTTATTAAAAAAGTTCTCCGCTCATCGTCACAATTTTTACGCTTACTTCTCTCGTGTCCTCTGATCATGTGCCTTTTACGACCTGCAACAAGAGTTTTTCCATCTAAGAATTACCATTAAGATTGTTCTTACCATTTCAACTGACAACGAATTCGATTAATGATTGTTGTTTGTTCAAAGATTTTAAATTAAATTTTCTCCGAAATTTTGAGCTTTATCCCGCAGTTGGTAATTTTAAAACTAATTCACTGAATTGAAGAATTCATTTTAAGAAGACAAAAGTATTAAAGGAAATGGAAAATTTCTTCAAATAAACGAAACATTTTTATTATTTTAAAAGTATTAAAATAATCGTAGTTAACTAATAACGTACACAGATTATTGGTTTCTTTACTATCATTAAAAGGAAAAAATATTACATAGAAAGAATTATCATTTGTTGTTCACCAAGAGTATAAAATTTTTTATAAAATATTTTTAGAAAAGTAGTATAAAAATGAAAGGAAGAAATATTATTTACATCGTATTTTAATATTATTTCATATATGCATAAATATATGCATAACGTTTTTTATTATTTATTATCATAATTATCTTAATTTTCACGTGTTATGTAGCGTAACAAAATATTCTATATGTTGTTTTTACACAATAAATTCGATTGCCATTTCTGTTTCATTTTGGGAAGAATTAGGAGTCGTTGGTAACGGTCTGGAGGTTTCACTAACCCACATTCATCGTTGAAAGCAAAACGTTTCTGACTGCTGACCCGGTTTCCGTTATTACCAGTTCATCTTGATCGAGGACTATCTTTTATCTAACTTTTATCTATTTCGTTACGAAGTCCAACTTTTCTTTGAGTCATTTTTCCTTGACCGTTAGATTTTACCGGTTTTTACCGGTCGTGACCTGCACTTTTCTTTTTCGTAATTAATCAGTAAACGAAGTCGAAAAATTTATCAAATTTTAGAGAAAAATGGAATTTTTCAATTATGCTCGAAACGTTGTGATTTTTTATTCGCAGAAATATTTTTCTAACAATTTAATTGTCTTTTGGATATTTTTTATTGCAAAGTTTTATTTTAGAGATACGAATGTACGAATGAAAAATGATTTTAATCGAAATTTCTTAGTTATTTATGTAAATTATTGATAGAATTATTTTTCTAATTTTCTGCATTGATTATTCAAATTAGTTATAAATATTCAAATATTTTTATTTTATCAATTACATTACGAATTATGATGAACAATTATTATAAAAGTAATATAAAAAGGATTTAAAGAAATGAAAAAGAAACCCGAGTAATGTAAATTTAAAAAATTAAAAATTGTGAAGAGAAAGAAAGTTTCACGAGTTTCAAAATGACGGTATTCGATATTATTTTTTACCATCTGTTTTTATCAAAGTATTTGCGAATCCAAAGTAAAAGTTTTACTTGTAACTTTCTCTCTTATCATGTAATAATTATCTTCTTTGCAACTTTAAATTCGTCTTTTTACAACTTTACAGCTCTTTCGTTATTGTTCCTATAATTTCCAACACAGTGAAAGGCTTCAAAGATGGTAATATCAAGATAAACACAAATTTTTTTATTCAACAATCGTTTCAATACAGAAAACGCGGAACATCACAGAAAAATCTTGTGGAACTTGTCATATATGTACACTGGACTAGATCACCTCAACTATGTGCAATTGTATCCCAACAATTGCAATAAATTAATGATAGATACGATGATTTCTAATTCAAATTCAACAATTATTTACAATCAGATTGTGAAGTGGCAGTAACAACTATCTGCTGTAAACATTTATAAACATATTAAGTAAAATTAACTTATCAACTATGGAATATAACGATAATACTGATCGTATTGTTGCGTCGATTATCTTAACGGATATAAAAGTGTTACGTAACGAAAGATCGATGTTGGAAAGGTATGTGTGATCCTGATGAATTATGTACTTTATCTTAAGTGTAGAAGATTTTTGAAATAGAAAGTTAATATCTCTGTGACGACGACGGTGAACACATACATTCTTCGTGTAGATGATCTTTCAACCATTCCAGATAATTTGTTATTTTTGTATAAACACCTGGATATTTTGGTCTTCCGCAACCACGACCCCATGAAATAATACCTGAAAAAAATATGTAACACTGATTCCAACTGATTGATTAAATATTTTCTTACGTTAATATTATAAAATAATTATTTTAATTATCAACGATAACAAAGTACGAATAATTTACCTATTACTTCCATGTATCCAAACCTGTTCTTCACATGGAGAGGACCACCACTGTCACCCTAAAAATAATGTAACGTTATGAAGTAGAATAATGAAATATTTGAATTACAATCATAACAAATTAATATTGTTCTAATTCATAATCAAATAAATTGTTTTATTCGTGTCTTAAAAAGATAGATATTTTTATATACAAGATTGATTGTTCTCTTACGAAGCAAGCGTCGAATTCACCCTTCAAATATCCCGCACAAAACATATTTTCGGTGATCATATGTTTGTAGTAACCCGCTTGATCGCATTCCTCCTTGGACAAAATTGGGAGATTGACTATTCTCAATTTATTGCTCACAGGCTCATATTCCCCCGTTTGACCCCAACCAATTGCTGTGGCTGTTGCTCCAGTATAATCGACAGCTTCTGTAAATTACACGAATTTTCACGATCTGCTTTTCTTGTCTTAGAGAACATGCGATGTTTTTTTAAAGGAAATATTTATCGAGGTGCGAATTAATCGAAATAAATAATATTTTTATAGAATATCTATAAAATATGTTCACTCGCGAATTATGAGATATATTTTACTGCACGTCATTGACTTATTGCGCTATTTTTCGTAATAAGCAGCAAAAGTGTACTCACTGTCTTCGGGCAAACAGGCGGTTCGCACGATGCCATTCACATTCACTGGCCGATCCATTTCGATAATGGCTATATCGTTGTTATATTTGCTGTATTTATTAAAATTCTCGTGTATAACGACCGACTTGACACGACGAATTATAGCATTTCTGTCTACTTTCGTTCTATCATTGTCCGCTAAGATAAGTTTGATCACTCTTCTGTCGAATCTGAAATTTATTAGAAAATTGTTTCAGAAATAATTTTGTATATTAAAAAAATTGCAATTTTTCTTCAATGAATTTTATATTAAAAACGAATAATTCGTTTAAACGATGTGATTATTCGATTTCAATTTCAAGTGGCTTTTATTAAAATTGAAATAGTAATAAAAAGCGCTATGTAAAGTAATAAATAGAGGTAAATAAACGTGTACAGAAGAAAAGTTAATAAATTACTTGGATAAATAACGTTGAGAACGTGTAAACTTGTAGATTTATTGTACAGGCAAAGAAAGGAAATTGAAGAAAAGCTTTAAATCTTCTTAGCTACGCTTGATTTAATCATAGTAAATGGATTAACAAGGATCAAAAAAGGAAACGTATGCATTGGAACACTGCTTGTGAACATTTTCATGAAAAATTCAGAACAGAAATAAAATGGAAAATTCTTTAAAATTTATAAGAAAAAATAATTATATAATTTGATGGAATTGATGAGAAATTTCTACGAAAAATTTTTATCTCTTCTCTTTGAATATTATCAATAACTCACAATAGTTATCGTCATTTTCAGTAAACATGGATCCTCGAATCGGCATCTAGCAATAAATAAAATAAAATGAAAATCGATAACAAGAAAAACACGACGAATCATTTATTTCAAAGTAATATTTTAATACTTAATTCAAATTTTAAAAATTTATTTATATTTTTTTATCTTATAATTAACTCGATAAAAAATTGAATAGAGAATCGAATATTCTGTTTATAAATAAATACTCACCCTTGCAAACAATGAGCTGCCGTGAGTACATGTTTTCGCGTGATTAAACTGCCAGCGCAATAAAATGCATTTTCCTTAAACATGCTAACAATCCATGGATACTCGTAAACGCTTGTTACGTTTCCACCTATGATTCTTGTTTTCCGTCCTATGCCACACGCTAAAATAGATACGTAAATATTGTTAACAAAGATAAAATACAATTGTTCATTAATTTTTTATTTTTCTCAAAGATTTTCAAAATTTAATTTTCATCATTTATTATCGTTTCTATTCTAAAATAACTTTTTAAGTAAGAATAATCATATGTGTTTACAATAAGTTTGATACTTTTTTCAATGTAATGTGAAAATGTATTGTAAAATTTGAATAACTTTTATAACAATTCCTTTCTATTTTAATCAATTTATGATAAATTTTAAACGTCATTTTTTTAAGCAATATAAAAATGAAGTTTTCATTATATCTCAATGTAGAATTTTTATTAATAATAAAATTGTTTAATTTATAAAGTTGATTAATAATAATCGATCTGAGAAAATTCAACCAAAAATTGACAAAAAATTTATCATTGTAAAATCTATAATTATTATTATCATATTATATATTTTTTTATTTGAAAAATTCTTCGTTCATCTTTACTGTTGCACAGTAAAATTATAGTTAATAAAGGCTTTAATGAAAGTAGTCGTAGACTCTTTCACCCTCTTTTATTTTCAACGAAGATGACAGTTTCAGAAGAGTGGGAGTAATCGTGTTTCGATTAGTCGATCGTTTTTATTAATTACCACAATTGTTGCAGACGTTCGGTCTCTTTGATGGTATCGAAGAGATTGGATCGAAATCGATGTAAGAGACTTCATCTATCGATTTTAAATTATCTATCTCGCTGCTCGTAACGTTTAACGCTGGCAAATTCTTTTCCTTATCGTTTGATATCTAAATAAAAAATGAAATAATTATTGTACAATCGAATTGTATTTTGTGTTTAATATTATTGCGATTGTTTCGTGTTAAATACAAGATAAATAGGAAAATTTTAGGTGAATTGTTTCTGAGGTATCTAAGAATTAAATCTGGGACAAGAAAGCTATGAAGTCAATTGAGAATGAAGGTAATTGAGAATAAACTATGGAAGAGAATGCAGTCATGTGTGCAATAACAAAAATCATAATGTTTCATCGTATGTTTAACAAGAAAAAATTTTTTAAAATATTCTAAAATTTTTACATATTAAATATATTTACATATCATATTCAAATAATTTTTAAAATTATTTTTGATATTTGCTGATACTTGTAATGCATTTATTTAATGATTCTTTAATCTATTTTATTTTTAAATATATATCTATCTTTTTTAATTCATATCTAATTTAAATTTCTTTATCAGAAGTTTATATTTTATAGATTGTAAAAAATATTATTTGCTAAAAACAGATATTACGTTATTGGTGGATAAAAATTTATTAAATCTTTAAAAATAATAATTTTTAAGTTATTCGCGGCACTTTGAGAGAATTTGTTGATAAAAATCAGATTTAAACATAAATATCACCGCAAAAGGTAATATTTGGCCCTGTATTAGAAGTCATAAATAGCATGAAAGGAATTTTACCCCTATATTTCACCCTTTTATTATATTAGTGCCATATAAATTTCATTTCTAATAACATTCTGACATTCTTATGAAACATGTAAATTCAAATAACAATTTTTGGCATTTATTTATCGTCGAACATATGATTTAAAGTATTAATATCGTTACTTTTATCGAAATTGTCTTCTGTGCCCCTATATTTTTATGTCATCTGTACAGGACATAATTTATCTGTATTAAAAATCTGTATTAACAAAATAATAACTGACCATTAATTTTCAAATAATAAACGTATATTGTATATCTTAAATTGTACAAAATCTCATAACACTTAGACATCTAATTAATCTGAAAGATAGAATCACGAAATATTCGGATATTTACGTGCCCAAAATCATTTTTACGAATAAAATTTAAAAATTCCATTCTTCAAACTGTTGCATAAATTCACGAAAGGACATTATCGTGCAAAATCGATCAATTATAAATTCCAAAACTAAATATACATCGACCAATAACATTGTTCAAAATGCCCGCGATAACGTTTATTACAATAGCTATTACGCTCAAATTGCTCGTGTTCACCGGTTATAAGCGGAATAATAAATAACGAATTATCCAAGCAACTTTATTTTCTCTGCCTATGCACGCGAGCGTATTCAAAACCGATCTATTTCACGATCGAAATAAAATAAATTAGACGAGGGAGACTCACCACTCGCGGTAACGCGTGGCCGCAACAACTTATCCAGAACAGGAACACGAGTGTTCGTCGCATTGTCGCCCGAAATATCGGCGCGTTGTCGATACCAGCCTCGTTGTCGATCCCGATCCCGATATTATATATAACACGTACGTCCAGTGCACGTGGCTACGCCAGGCAAGTGTGAAAAGTGTAAAGGTACCGTGGCCGTTTTGCCGTTTTATAGTAAATTATAACTATTGAAGAAGCCGCGGTTGCCGGTGGGGATCGTCAACCTTGAGTGGTGCGTGTGCATTGGCAGATGTTGCATGTGACAGCTTTTAAATCAGCCCGAGTTGTACGTGTAAGCGGCACGTTGTCTCACCTGCACAACAACCGATTCGACACACGGATACACTCGAAAAAGGTGACAATGTGTCTCATGCGTAACGAGGGATACAGAGGTGTACAGATGTCGTCGAGGCAACCAACGACCACCAACGACGATCAATGTCAAACAACGGACCCACCACTACCTTCGACCTCTCCTCCTCCCAACATTTCGACCCTTCCTTCCTTCCTTTCGAAGATCCGACGGATTGGATCAATGTCATTCATTTTCGTCACACGAAATTCTTCTTCACGCCTCCTCCTCTATTGTATTCGAGAGGAGAGAAGATAGGAGAGGAGAGGCGCAATATGGAACGAGTTAATTGGAAGGGTTTCACTTATCGAGTGGAACGAGCTCTTGTAATTGGTTGTGGGCCGTTTCACGAGCGAGGTGATGGGCCGTGGTGGATGTTATGGGTGTTGCTGGAATTTTTTAATAAGTTTGAAGCCGTAAGAAACGTATTGGGTTTGCTGTTTTTGATGTTGGAATAATTTGTCTCGTAAATTTCCTCTCTCACTCTCCTATGACACGTTCATCGTTAACTCGTTTATAATTACGTAAAGGATAATTTTTGTATTATATATAGTGGAGGAAAGCTTTTTGTATCTGCAAAATTTAGTTAATCAAAACGAAGTTTGATCGAAAACAACTTTGTCATATGTATCACAATTAGATATTTATGCAACGCAAGGAGAGATCGATAATATTTATATACACTCAAATTTTCTACAAATGCATAAAGTGCTCACGTATATCGAGAAGATGAAAAATTCTACAAACTTCCGAAACTCAACTCGGAATTACCTGCAAGGGCCATGAAACAGTTTCGATACGCAGGTAGTAAAGATTTTACTGGCCGAGATTCTAAGAAGTTTGTGACACTTTAATGTGATATTACACGGGTTAATGTTGCCGCTCGAAATCGGGTCAATGTAATAGCCGTTTGCCCTTGCCTCCGGATTCGTAAAGCAAACATTTAACGAGCGTGCGCTATCGCCCTGTCTCTCTTTGTCACGCGGGATTCCAATGCTCCGCGAGGGTGTTGAAATAATCGTGTTCGGTTAATTGCACGACGCGTGTTTAAAAATTGGACGCTAAACATCCAGATAATTGCTCGGCGTTATCTTGTGTAAATTCGGGAAACTCGGGTGTCAGAAATTCGTCTCGTCTCAACGGATCATGGGCTAAGCGTTAATTGCCTTTTAGGTAATTACCAGACGTTTGTTTTCGATTATTTATGGTTTCTACTTGGTCGTGTAAACCTGATACTAGAATTATAATATATGGAATGTGGAATTGAAAAAAATATGTGTGTTAATATGGTGCAAAATTGATATAAATGTTTATACTTGTGCTTGTTATTAGGAATATTTATAATTGTAAAGATTATATATATTTTGTCTCGATATTTTAATTAGAATTAATTCTATTTATGACGTATTTTTAAATTATTCTGCGTTCGTTTTTTTTTTTTTTTGAATTATTGAATCCTTGATATTTGCATTTGTTATATCAATTCAAATCAAATTTAATTATCATGTAAATTAACATAAATCAGGATTATAACTAATTCTAAATAATGTTGTATTTTCATTATTGTATTTCAATTTTTTAAATAAATTTTACCAAGGAGTGGTTGAGAATAATAAAAATGTATTAAATAGATATCAACAATGTATTCTTATCATTAATGCTCTTATCATTGCATTATTGTATTATATGGAACGAAAAACTAGGCCATTGTCATTTCGTATTTTTGTTACGATTTTTATAATAAGATATTTACGAGCATTTAATATTTACGTAACTTTTAAACTGAACTCGTTTAATTAAAGTTACAACGAGTAATTTTAATTCGTAAAAACAGCTCAAAGAGAAAGGAGAAATTTTTTCCCTCGGAATTTCTTTTTCAAAGAAATTGAATTTGAAAATATGTTAGATAAAAGTATAGTTGAATCTATCGATTCTCAATTGAATATAAATGCATTATTGATAGAAGGTTTCTCTGCCAATGCGAGAATAAGTAAAAAAAAAAATGCAGAATAAAATTTTTAATTTAAATTCTTCTTCTCGAATAGTCAGATACTTGATATACTCGATGAATTTTAACAATTTTTTTGAAAAAAAAAATACGAAAAAATTGTATTCCATATTTTTTTTTGTTTCACGTCAAATAACCTTCTATCAATAATTCCAATAACTCGTATCGGAAATTTCCCTATACGTTTCATAACTCGATTTTTTCGAAAACCAAAAATGAAAGAAAAAAAATTTTCTTTTTCTATATAGACTCGACATCATCCCGATCTTCGATTTAACGTATTTTTTTCTATATTCTTTAATACATTCACAAAAGATCCATATACAAAAATTTGAGATTAAATAAAATCCATCTTACGAAGCAAACTCGAGACACTTAACGTCTCGATTTTTATATTTCAACACTTCGTTTTCATCGACCTTTCATGGTTAAAAAACACTGGTAAAGAAATCCAAATCACACCACACAACAGCATCGCGTTACAATAGAAACAAAGCTGGCTGTTTTCACAATTTTTCACAATTTTTTTTTCACCAGAAAAGTTCGCGTCAAAAGGTGGCTTATCCCTTTGACAGTCGTAATTTACCGATTGATTGCGTTACTCGTTCAATATCGAACAAGTTTCACCGGGTAACAAGATTCCTTCGACGTTTGGAATTCAATTATTCGGGGTAAGAAAACGCGCCGTCACGCACATCCAGTGGATGGGTTCGCACGGGTATAATTCGTGGGACGAATGTGCGACTCGCGGCAAGGCAAAAAAGTGGCCAAGAAACGCGAGTATCGATTGGATTGGTAAAGTAAAAAAGAAGGATAACGAGACGAGGCGATCGTCTCGCATGCATCGAACTGTGTCCCGATAATTTATGCATGCTTCTTTTAATACCACAGTCTTGTTTTACCATTCATCAATTAATCTGTCACGTTCCATCAAGCGATATGAACGCGATTATTATCTCGAATTTCGAGCCACGAATGAAGCAAGAATTTTCATATATTTCCCAGACGGTGTCTGCTTTTTATTCATTTATTTTATATCACGAAAAGGCGAGGGAATTTTAAATAAATTTCATTTCTATTATTTTTCCACTCGATCAATGATTTTTCTTCTAAACTTTCATTCTTTACATATAAATCGATCGATAAAATTTAGTTGTTACATCTATAATAATTACGATTCATCTTAATACAGTTCTGAATATATAATATCGTGTACTCTGAGTAAA